CTGAGTGACGAGCGGCAGCAAGGATTTCTCGAGCGATCTCGTTTTCACTTGTGGATCCAAAACGTTCGCCATACGCGCCGGGGCTGCCATGTTGGCCTCACACCCTCACGAGCGCCACTGAGCTCCGTCGCCGCCGCCCGTGCCCGTGCCAGCACACCCACACGCACACTTACATACACACACACGGTCGTAGGGGCAGTTTACGCACACGAACCTTACACACATAACGCGCGTAGCAGGTTGTCGGTCGTGATAGACGGTTAGTGAGGTACGCAAAGGTATGCCAGTGAGTGGAGGCTAAGATGCGCGTGTGCGTTCGGGTATGTGCATACGAAGGCGTACACATGCACACACGTTCAGACATGGATGTACAAAGACACATACATAGGCACAGGACTAGACACACGCACTGGGACAGGTACAGACACGCAAGCACACACACACGCACACACAAACACGCACACGCAAACGCAAACGCACACGCACACGCACACGCACACGCACACGCACACGCACACGCACTCGCACACACACACACACACACACACACACACACACACACACACACACACACACACACACACACACACACACACACACACACACATCCAAACATACACAAACACAAACAAACAAACACACACATCCAAACATACACAAACAAACAAACACACCCACGTATCCCCCCCCCCACACCTGCACTCAAACAAACACCCAAACAAGCTCCCAAACAACCAAACAGCTGGCTCATGATACCACACAACCTCGACCCCCCCCCCCCAAAAAAAAAAAGAAAAAAGATGGCTTTCCTTCTCAACGTAAAGCTGTTTTAACTATAGAGTAAATAAAGGTTTCTCACATTAGATAGGTTTGGGGGGAAGGGGAGGGGAGGAGGAGGGGGAGGGTGGGAGGGGGAGAGGAGGAGGAGGAGGGGGGAGAGGAGGAGGGGAGGGGGAGAGGAGGAGGAGGAGGAGGGGGTAGAGGAGGAGAGGAGGAGGAGGAGGGGGGAGAGGAGGAGGAGGGGGGAGAGGAGGAGAGGAGGAGGAGGAGGGAGAGGAGGAGGAGGAGGGGGGAGAGGAGGAGGAGGAAGGGGAAGAAGGAGGGGGGAAAGGGGAAGTGGAGGAGGGGGAGGGAGAAGGGAGAAGGGGAAGAGGGATATAGTGAGGATGGAGGATAAGAGGAGGAGGGAGAAGGGGAAGAGGAGGAGGAGGAGGGAGAAGAGGAAGAGGAAGAGGGGGGGAAAGAAAAGGAGGAGGAGGACTAAGAGGACGAGGAGAAGAAGGGGAAGAGGAGGGGGAGGGAGGAGGAGGGGGGCAAGGGGAGGGACGTAAAAATAAAGAGGGGGGGGGGAGGGAGGGGAAAGAATGAAGAGAGAGGCAATAGGGGAGGAGAAGGAGGAGGAGGGAAATGGATGAGCGCAGGGAGAAGGGAGGAAGAGAGAGAGAGAGAGAGAGAGAGAGAGAGAGAGAGAGAGAGAGAGAGAGAGAGAGAGAGAGAGAGAGAGAAAGCGAGATAAAGTGAGAGAGAAAGCGAGATAAAGGAGAGAGAGAGAGAGAAAGGAGAGAGATAAAAGAGAGAGAGAGATAAAAGAGAGAGAGAGAGAAAGGAGAGAGATAAAAGAGAGAGAGAGAGAAAGGAGAGAGATAAAAGAGAGAGAGAGAGAGAGAGAGAGAGAGAGAGAGAGAGAGAGAGAGAGAGAGAGATCCAAAGCATAAGAGATCAACGACAAAAAAAAACCTAATCACAAATAAATAAACAGCAACACACAAAGATAAAAATAGACAATCGGAAGTATGCAAAAGAGGGAAGAGAGAAGAAGACGATAACAACGGGAGCGTTTGGAAATGACATGTTTGCTCGTTCACCTTTGTTCATCTCGGCGAATGGGGGGGGGGGGGGGGGGGCTATCCGATCTCATTGTGTGTGTTTGTTTTTTGTGTCTGTCTAATCATGTTTATATTTATCTGTGTATCTATAAATCAACAAGTCATTATATCTTAATGTCTATATCTGTATCTATATTTTTAGTGTATATATTTATATATCTATATGTATATATACGTATATTTATATATATAAATGTATGTATGTATATATATATATGTATATATATATGTATATACATATAGATAGATAGATATGTATATATATATGTGAATATATAAGTATATATAAATCTACATATCTAACTAGCTATCTATCTATATATGTATGTGTGTGTTTGTATACATATATATATATATATATATATATATATATATATATATATATATATATATATATATATATATACATATATATATATATACATATATATATATATATATATATACATATATATATATATATATATATATATATATATATATATATATATATAGAGAGAGAGAGAGAGAGAGAGAGAGAGAGAGAGAGACAGAGAGAGACAGAGAGACAGACAGACAGACAGACAGATAAACAGATATACATATAAAAAAAATCAGTAACAGAGATAAAAAGA